ATAACGATTAAAAAGGCAATAAAAGAGAAAAAGAGAAGAAAAAAAATAATTAATAAATTATATTAATTCAATTGGAATACAAATATTTAAGTAACAAAAATAATAAAAGAATAAGACGACAAAAAGACAAAAAAACAAACAAATGACTGTAATAGGGTTAGGGTGCCAATAGCCTCTCTATATTAAATAATATTAAATATCAACCATTATAAAAATAAATAGTTCTTATTATATAAGGATTTGAATAGGAAGCGGTGCACCGTTTAACTTGTCGGTGATTGTTCGTCATCAATAATTTAGTGATGTTTATATTGGTCGGTTGGATAATTTTAGCCGATGATTCCTTCACGTTTATTATCACACGGGATTCGTTCAGATAATGAACTAGAACAAATGACAGATAACAATGTTCAAATATTAAACTAGCAAGACATGTTCAACCACTTATAATTCTTAATTTACGAGTTTTTCCTATTAATTATTATCAAATTTTAATAAAAATAATACATTCAACTACATTGTAGAAGTAGAAAACTGAGAGCATATAGTATGTTATATTTTCTCTCTTTTTCTAAATTTAGAGACTTTTCAGCTCTCTTCTATTTTATTTTTCTATATTTTATAGGAGAATTTAACATAATTGTTGAAATAAAACTTTCCCAGATCTCTAACATTTTCAAAATAATATAGCTGTTGGTGTTACTCTGATATATACATATATATATTTAAAGGGGATTTAATGTGCATTGAGTTAATCTTGAAAGAAAAATCTATGATTTTGGATTATAATTTATTCTTTGCTATAAAAGTGCAATTATTTAATAAGGATATGGTGTTGTTTGGCAAAAATAAATTAGAATATAAACTAGTTTATTTTTTTGGTACATGTTTGAATGCACATAAGTTAGCTTATAAGATAGTTTATTGAAACACCACTAAGAGTAACGTTTTGATAGCTTAGGTCATTTTTTTTTAATTATAACTCTTGTTAATATTAGTTATTAATTACTATTAATTATAATAAAATTTAAATATTACCAATACTAATCAATAGAAATTGAAAATTAATTATTATTTAATTTTAATTATACATTAAT